CTCCTGGGTTCAAGCAATTCTCCTGCCTCGGCCTCCCAAGTATGTAGGATTACAGGTGCATGCCACTACACCCAGGTAATTTTTGTATTTTTAGTAGAGATAGGGTTTTGCCCTGTTAGCCAGGCTGGTCTCAAACTCCTGACCTCAGGGGATCCGCCCGCCTCAGCCTCCCAAAGTGTCAGGATTACAGGCATCAGCCACTGTGCTCAGCCCCCAAGGATATTTTTAGGTAGCAAAAGGAGGAAGATCTCAAGATGAACTGTATGTCACCTTTTATGTTTAAGCGCTGAAGCATTCATCCAAAGAAGCAGCAAGCAAATTTTGGCAGGTAATGTTATGGGGACTTAAAGTGAGAAAAGTAATAGGAAGAGTGTTAAGATTTAATGTATTTAATTTTTAAAAAATGTATACTCACTGTCCAAACCAGGATGGCTGATAGTCATTAACGAGATAGATTTTGTCAACGGAGACGAAATGGCTGATGTACAGTAATTAAATCCCTGCTGCTTAGATCTGTGACATATCTACGAAGTAAAAAAGTAAAGAACAGGTTAGAAGCATATGCTCTCTTATTTCTAGAAAAGCATAAAACTTTATAATTAGACCCACATATAAAATAAGGCAGTCCAGAAGGGGGCGAGAGCACAGGCTTTGTGGTCAGACACTCTTAGGTCAAAGTCTGCTCCTGCTACTTAACAGCTGCTCAATTTCAGAGGAGTTACAGTACTTAGCTTCTCTCAGGCTTAGTCTTCTCATCTGTGAAACGGGGACCATTAGAGTATCCATTCTTTACAGTGGTTCTGTATCCCTCATAGCAACTAACAATGTTTCAAACTTAGTAAGTACTTAATAAATATCTGCTGGATGCATTATCACATAAAAATAATTTAACTCAAAATATCAAACTATGTACTTGTTCTTTGAAAGTCTAAATATTCCTTCATGCAGATATAGTAGGTTATCGGTAATAATATTCTGATTTTACTTTATTTTTAAGACACAGTCTCCCTCTGTCGCCTAGGCTGGAGTACAGTGGCACCATCCTGGCTCACTGCAACCTCCGAGGTTCAAGTGATTTTTCTGCCTCAGTCTCCCGAGTAGCTGGGATTATAGGTGCGCACCACCAAGCTCAGCTAATTTTTTTGTATTTTTGGTAGAGACAGGGTTTTACCATGTTGGCCAGGCTGGTCTCGAACCCCTGTGCTCAGGTGATCTGTCTGCTGCCTCAGCCTCCAAAAGTGCTGGGATTATAGGTGTGAGTCACCACACCTGGCCTCTGATTTTAAATAATTGGAAATTGAGATGCAAAGTAAAGTGTTTTAAGATCACAAATAAAACAATAGTGTATTTGCAAAGAAGCCTCAATCTCTTCCCTTTCCTCTTCTACGATGAGACTGTTTCTACATGAACATAAAGGTAACAGAAATTTGATAATTTAACTCTATCAGTAAATTATCAAAAGCTTTGAGACCACCTAATCCAATCACCTGCAGGGGTTCCTGGTATAATATCCCTCAAAGACAGTCACCTAGTGTCTACTAGCACATTTCTGGAGATAGGAGCCCATTCTAACTGTTAACTGACTTTATCATTAATCCTTTCCCTTTACAGAATGCAATCTGCCTCCTTATGACACAAACATGTTGAAAGAGAAGCAATGAAAAATCTGTTACTAGCATGAACTTGACTCAATTAGGCCAGACTTCTGATTATTTAGAGCTTGTTTCATGTGTAACCATGGAGGCAAACAGTTGCTATGTTTGAAATAAAACTGTGAGGTCTAAAAAATGACCTCAGTGAAAGGCAGAGACTTTTAACAGGAAGTTGGCTGCAGGCAACTCATCCAGATCAGAGTGATACACGCAGCTCCAATACCCACTCTGAGGTTGCACACGAGATAAAAACTATGGGTGAGCAGAGATTCCAGGAAGGCTAAGCATAGCAAGGCACTAAAACAACAACTTTAGAAAGAGTGAATCAGAAAATCCACTTCAGAAAGACAGTCTATTTTAGAAACTTATCAGTGGTAGTAACGTCACTTACTAAAATGCAGGGTTATCTGTCAAATTCCTGGAAATATTTATCTCAGAAAAGGTATCACATAAATAATATTAAGAAAATTAAATCATTCTTATTTCCTCATTAAAACTCACCTACCCCAAAAACCTAAAAAGCGCAGTGAAATTAACAGCCAGGAACTGAGTTTACCACTGTTCAGCTAACAGCCACTTACATGGATTTATGCAAGTCATTTAAATGGGCTTCAGCTGAATCTGAAGGGATTTACCACGTCTCTGTCTATGATTCTGTTTACAAATCCACAATTCTGATATTTTATCTCATCTTGCAAATGATATCCAAAGGATTCTATATATTTAACATGCAATTTAAAGATTTTTTTCACTGGTTTATTTATCTTTAGCCAAGCTGTGCTCAATAGCCACCAAAGAATTGTTCTTATTTTTTCCTTCCCGTTTCTTCTACCATTAGGCTGAGTAAATCTAAATTACCTGCTTCAACAGGCACATTATTCACATTCTTTTTTTTTCTCTTTCTGAAGTATCAGATCAAGTAGAAAAAATGTTTAAAGGGGCAAAATTCATTCAGGTCTTCAACTGATTTTCATTATGCATAAATCTCTCTCTCTTTTTTATGAGACATAGTCTCGCACTGTCGCCCAGGCTGTGGTGCAGTGGCGTGATCTTGGCTCACTGCAATCTCCACCTTCTGTGTTCAAGCAATTCTCCTGCCTCAGCCTCCTGAGTAGCTAGGGCTACAGGTATGTACCACCACGCCCAGGTAATTTTTTTGTATTTGTAGTAGAGATGGGGTTTCACCATGTTGGCCAGAATGGTCTCGATCTCCTGACCTCATGATCTGCTCGCCGCGGCCTCCCAAAGTGCTGGGATTACAGGCATTTAGCCACCGCACCCAGCTGCCTGTATCTTTTTTTTTTTTTTTTTTTTGAGACGGAGTTTCACTCATGTTACCCAGGCTGGAGTGCAATGGTGCGATCTCGGCTCACCGCAACCTCCGCCTCTTGGGTTCAGGCAATTCTCCTGCCTCAGCCTCCTGAGTAGCTGCGATTACAGGCACGTGCCACCATGCCCAGCTAATGTTTTGTAGTTTTAGTAGAGACGGGGTTTCACCATGTTGACCAGGATGGTCTCGGTCTCTTGACCTCGTGATCCACCCGCCTCGGCCTCCCAAAGTGCTGGGGTTACAGGCTTGAGCCACCGCGCCCGGTCTCTGCCTGTATCTTTTTAATCATCTGATCTCACACAAGCGTAAGTGCTACATTAATTACTAAGGTTATCCTTCAGAGCCAAATTTATATTTGGTCATGTCAGTGCTTCGTAGTAGGATGCAATAAAAAATTAAACTTCTACACAAAGTCCTCCTCAGCAAATCATGGAAGAGGCTGTCAACGTTTTTGTTTAATTAGGAATATATCATTAGATACTGCCCCAAACTCCAGTCATCTATTCAAAAAGCTTCTTTAAAAATTATAAATGTTTCATTTGGAGGACATAAGATGTATCCCAGAATGTTTTCATAAATTAATCCAAAGTCTCCTGGCCCAAGAGGAAAAGACTTGCAATAAGGCAGAATGCTATAAAAGCATATAATTCGAATTCTCAACTCAAAATCTCCCCAAGGGATTGTCAAAAGTGAAAGTAATAATGAGGACACCCAGAAGATGAGAACTAAGAAGTCACTTTGATTTAGCTGACAAGGAAATCCATGACCTTCAAGACAGGAGTTTCAAGAAAGTGGCAGCAGCAGAAATTAAGAGATGATTAGGTGGTGATAAAGAGAAGGCAAAGGCCAGGCGCAGTGGCTCACACCTGTCATCCCAGCACTTGGGGAGATGGAGGCAGAGGATCACTTGAGCCCGGGAAGCTGGGGCTGCAGTGACCCATGATGGCACCACTGCACTCCAGTGTGGGCAACAGGGTGAGACCCTGTCTCTAAATACATTCATAAACGAAATTTTAAAAAGAGAAGGCAGGGAGCATAGATGTTCTCTTAAGAATTCTGGCAGGAATGGGAAGGAGAGAGCATCCATGGTCCTTTCCTGGTGTAGTAATAAAGTTTTTTTTTCTACAAAGGAGAAACTTGGGATATGTTTTAGAGAATTAAGAAAATCAATAATGGTATCATATTTCAAGATTCATTTTACTATTGAGATGGTAAAAGAAGGTCTCAGATAAGAAGGAAAAACTCTGTTTAATATCCTGGATACTTTCCTAATTTAAAAAAGTGTGCCTTGATGGAATATTTAAATCTATGCAGATTAATGATATTCTTTATTTTTCATTTATTTATCCTTTTTAGAGACAAAGTCTTGCTCTATCGCCCAGACTGGAGTGCAGTGGTACAATCATGGCTCACTGCAGCCTTAAACTCCTCGTCTCAAGTAATCCTCCTACTCCAGCCTCCCAAGTAGCTGGGACTACAGGCACAAGCCACCATATCCAGCTAAGTTTTTAATTTTTTGTAGAGATGGGGGGTGGGGGTCTTGCTATGTTGCTCAAGCTGGTCTTGAGCTCCTGGGCTGAAGTGATCCTCCCACTTCAACCTCCCAAAGCACTGGGATTACAGGCATGAGCCACCATGCCTGACCCTTTTTAATTAAGTGTTAAAAACTTGCTTTAGTCCTAGATTAAGTATCTCGTATAATGGGTAAGCAGTCGCAGCTACTAGCCTTATACAAACAGAAACCTTGCCTTCTTTGTTCATATTTTGTGAAATATATTTTTTCCAAAATAGACATATTTAAGACTTACCTGCTGATCAAACATCTTATGTTCTCTGTGGTCTGACTCTAGATCCTCTTCTGAAAGTGACACCAAAGAGTCACCCTGTTGCTCACCACTGAAAGGGCGTCTGAGTTCTTTGGCATTTACAGAGCTTACTTCTAGAGATGAGGATGGCTTGCTTCCGATACCAGCTCCTCCTGTCAAGCCTTCTAAACTGAAACTGAACACAGGGCACAAAAGTTAATTCATTCTATTTCTGGGTCTCAAAAACGAAGGAAGATACAAAATCCCTTTGGGTGTATCTCCTTTGTTCGTATATTATTTCTATGTCAGCTAGCAAAACTGTCTAAAAGGGTATGGCACAAGGAGTACCACCTACCTTTCCCTCCCAGACTGTGGAATACTGAGAAAGAATACTCCATTAGATTTTCTTACCCCATTAAATTTATCCAAATGTTGAAACACCCAAGATCACTTCTCGGATTTTTTTCAATATACTATATGGACAGACCACATTTATCTGATACTCTATTTACGTTTTTCCTTGATCTAATTAATCCCTGTGACTCTAACTCTACAAAAGACAAGTAATTAAATTACTGTCACAGAGAAAATATGAACTTAAGTAACTTTCAGAAGGCAAACTGGGTAACTTGTCCTTATGTCCATTAAGTGGACCTTTGTAACTTCAGGTTCAAGTTGACCTTTATAATTTTACAGGTCTGCTTTCACCCCAGAAAACCCAAGTGTTACTCATGAGTGTTACCATCTATGCACAGCTGGACAAACAACAGCTGCCCACAGGCTTCCGGAGAACTGTTAGTTGCAACAGGCACATGTAACACTTTAATGGACAAATGCTGAAAAGCTACCAAGTCTAAGAGTAGAAAGAGTCGTAATTTTTTGTCTGGATACTGGTAAAGGGAAAAAAGGCAAACAGGATCTGCCATTTTAAAGAGGATTTCTCAGAGAAAGATTTTGTCATTTGCAGAATGAAAAGCATTTTCAGTCAGCAGGAGGCTACAGAGAGAGGTTAGTGATCTAAACTCCATGGGTTGCTAACTCGAATAATTCACATCTGTTACAACTGCAGTGAAAACTTCTTTAAAATAATCAAGATCTCAAAATATAGCTGTAGCTGACCATGTTCTCATTTAACAATGAGCTAGAATTCAATTTGAAGGTATAATGAAGCTATTTAGCTGCTTCCACTCAGGGAAAACTTACAGAAAATTGGTACAATTAAATTCATACATACTAGAGTCCAGGACTTGCATTTGTATTTGCTTGTTTTGTTTTGTTTTATAAATCACTTATGAACTGAAGCCTCATGTCTCTATTTTCTCTAGCAGGTAAATTAAATACTGGATATGTTTTTCATACTTCAATATGGTAACAGAAATCCTGACTGCCTCTGTAAAACTCATTTTCTTTTTTTTTTGGTTGTCTTTTTTTTGAGACAGAGTCTCCCTCTGTTGCCCAGGCTGGAGTGCAGTGGCACCATCTTGGCTCACTGCTGCCTCCATCTCCCAGGTTCCAGTGGTTCTCCTGTCTCAGCCTCCCAAGTAGCTGGGATTACAGATACCCGCTACTGGGTCTGGCTAATTTTTGTATATTTAGTAGAGGTGGGGTTTCACCATGTTGGTCATGCTGGTCTCGAACTCCTGACCTCATGTGATCCACCCACCTCAGCCTCCCAAAGTACTGGGATTATAGGAGTGAGCCACCACGCCTGGCCTGTAAAACTCATTTTCATTACCAGGGATAAGAAGACGGGCTAAGTGAAGAAGAAATTACTTGAAAAGCCTAGGAAAAGCACCTCTATGCTGACTGAAAAACTTAATCCTGAAAATGTTTTAGTAATTAAATCTAGCTGTTCGGCTGAGCGAATATGAAACGATAAGGAGTCTCTGAATTTGGAATCTAAAACGACTGGTGGACTTAGAAGCATAATAGAAATTAGTACATCTTATTAGCTGCCTTGCTTCTTTGTTTTCTTCAGGATTCGAGAATTTCCAGGATCTGAAAATCAAGACAGACCAAAACAGAGAAAGAGAAATCTGTGCGGAAAACATCACATCTATCGCCAGCTGAGACATACAGGATGCATCACTTGACTCCTAGGCGGCATCTCTTCAGCTGCGTTAGTGACACCCGTAGCAGAGGCAATGAAACACTGTGCTCACAGACAAAGCGGCCTGCCCATATGCATCCCAGCCACACAGAAGCCATCTCCAAGCCAAAAGCCCTGATGCCATATTTTATGGTTCCCCATTTGGCTGGACACATGACAATATCATACCTTCTGTAATTAAAGTCAGCACTCAGGCCAGCAGAGTACTGCACACGAGAGGGGCACCAGCTCATACTGGCGATGACATCAAAGACAGTAACAGAAATATAGGGAGAAAAGAGGAAACAGGGATGGGGTTAATAGGTTTTAAAACGAAGGGCAAAGTTAGAGAAAGACAGAGTTATGCAATCATCAAAATATTTAGGAATGTAACATTGACAATATCAAAAAGAGCAAGAAGAAGAACTACAGAAACTTAAAATTGTTTTTTGTTGTCTATCTAGTTAGTGTTGTGGAAAAGACAGTGGGTTCTTTACAGTATCACCAGTTCAACCTGAAACCCAAAAATTCCTTCTAGTGAATCTGTGGCAACTACCTATGGCTCTATGGCTTGTTCTTCAGACATGAAAAGTAGTTCAAAAACTCCACCACTGGGAACAATCTCTCAGTGCGTCCCATATACCCACATTACTCTTCCCACAGTATCTCTAATCCTAGACTCTGTAAAAGAGACAGTGACAAACTGTGCTCTGGTGGGCTCATAGTCATCAGGTGTTTTTGTTTTTCATGTGTTTCCATTAAGGATCCAACCAAATCAAACAATTAATAGATTTTGCCTAAGATACTTAGTCAACACTGGCAACCATCTTCAAACCCTTCTCACTAGGCTATTACGCTAAAGATAAAACATATAACACTAATTATATATTTGCTTATTTTTTAATGATAATGAAAAAAATTTTCCTCCCAAGATGGAGTTTTGCTCTTGTTGCCCAGGCTGGAGTGTAATGGTGTGATCCTGGCTCACTGCAATCTCTGTCTCCTGGGTTCAAGCAATTCTTCTGCCTCAGCCACCCCAGTAGCTGGGATTACAGGCATGTGCCATGACACCTGGCTGATTTTTGTATTTTTTTAATTAGAGAGGGGATTTCACCACATTGGTCAGGCTGATATCCAACTCCTGACCTCAAGTGATCCACCTACCTCAGCTTCCCAAAGTGCTGAGATTACAGGTGTGAGCCACTGTGCCTGGCTGATAATGAAAATTAAAAAAAATAAAAAAAGGAATTCTATGGCACTGTGTTAGAAATGTGTCTTTTTAAGTTTATATCCATTTTCCCCACAAGATTTTTAAACATCCGTCTCATCATCTATCTATTCTCAAGTAGCAGGGACAGAAAATTTGGGGTTGGAACTGCTATGTAAACACAACCAGCTAAAACAATAATCAGTTCAAAAGATTGCATGCTCTATAAAGAAAACTGCATGGAAACGTAAGGATTTTTATTAACAAAAGCTACCATTTAAAAAAAAAAATCTTGCTACCGGCTGGCATGGTGGCTCACGCCTGTAATCCTAGCACTTTGGGAGGCTGGGCGGGTGGATCACGAGGTTAAGAAATCGAGACCATCCTGGTCCACATGGTGAAACCCTGTCTCTACTAAAAATACAAAAACGAGCTGGGCATGGTGAAGCATGCCTGTAGTCTCAGCTACTTGGGAGGTGGAGGCAGGAGAATCGCTTGAACCTGGGAGGCAGAGGTTGTAATGAGCCACGATTACGCCACTGCACTCCAGCCTGGCAAAACAGCCAGACACCGCACCCCCCGTAAAAACAAAATGACCCACAAAATCCTGCCTACCTGGGCCATAAAGTTCTAAGTGATATGCTTTTGTTTTCTGAGAAGGGATAAAAGCAGAACTTGTGGACAACAATAAAACCACTCAGCTCCCTCCAGAATCCTGCAGATGGGAAGGCCTGGCACCAAAAACACTATCTATATTGGATATACCTAATGACTTTAATTGACAAGTGGGGTTTTTGGCTGGAGAAAGGAGACAAGGAAAACGGTAGGAGGAAGTAAGAGCTACCCCTATGGCTCTTTTAAAAAAATCTTTATCATATCATTTAAAAATAATTTAAACAGTATAAAACATTTTAAATCAGATTAAATTAGTGGTATAAAGCTTACAAACGCAGCAGAAAGTAAAAATATACAGTGGAGAAACTTCTCTGGTTGGGTAAGCAGAATGAGACTGACATAATTTACTTGTGTGAGGAGAACAGATATATTTTACAACACATATAAGACTCAGAAGTCCATTCTTTGACTTTATTAACTTAAATTTAAAATCACCAAACAGTTAATGAACAGGCAAATTTTTAACTAAATATCCAACTTCTTTTTTAGAAACACAATGTGGCAAATCAGTAACTGAACATACACTGCCAAATCGTCATTCTCAAAAATAATCTCCTTCTGCCAGGCACGGTGGCTTATGCCTGTAATCTCAGCACTTTGGGAGGTTGAGGTGGGCGGATCACTTGAGGTCAGGAGTTCAAGACCAGCGTAACCAACAGGGTGAAACCCCACCTCTACTAAAAACACAAAAATTAGCCAGGCGTGGTGGCACGTACCTGTAATCCTAGCTACTCATGAGGCCGAGGCAGGAGAAACGTGTGAACCTGGGAGGTGGAGGTTGCAGTGAGCTGAGATCATGCCACTGCACTCTAGCCTCGGCGACAGAGTGAGACTCTGTCTCAAAACCAAGAAACAACTCCTTTTACAGATTTAATGTTCCTTTACTTTCAGAATATGACAATAATGTGGAAGGCTGATGGAATTTAAGATGAAGAGAATGAAAACAATAGAGAGACAGGAAGAGAGACATACAGCATTTTTTTTTTTTTTTTTTGGAGGCTCAGCCTCGCTCTGTCACCCCCAGGCTGAGTGCACTGGTGCAATCCTGGCTCACTGTAACCTCTGCCTCCCAGGTTCAAGCAATTCTCCTGTCTCAGCCTCCTGAGTAGCTAGGATTACAGACCTGTGCTATCATATCTGGCCAATCTTTTGTGTTTTTAGTAGAGATGGGGTTTCACCATGTTGCCCAGGCTAGTCTCAAACTCCGGGCTCAAGTGACCCATCCGGCTCAGCCTCCCAAAGTGCTGGGATCACAGGAGTGACCCACTGTGCTTGGCCACAATATAACAGCTTTTCTAAGGAACCAGGAAGGAAGTTGCAGATGGTCTACAATGTCTGCCCTTCCTGGTAACAGAAAGCTCCTTTCATAATTAAGAGTATTTTCGAAAGCATCGTCATTTCCTCAATTCCTAAATTAGTAGGAGTAATACTGGTTCTTTGGCTTTATTTTGAAATTTGCAAAGTTCTAGATTAAAAACAATAAATGTCCCTCTTCCACCTAATAATACTTGTTTGGTATTTCAATTTACAAAATTTTAAATTATACATTACGTTCTTCCTACAAAAATAAGTTTCACTAGGGATGAAACTGACTGGAGTTGGTGATGACAGGCAAAAACTTATTTAGTAGAGATGGGGTTAAAACTTATTTAACAACTTATTTTCTGGAAGAGCAATTTCATAGGAATCATGATTATCTGAAATTCATGAGAATATCTGAATTTAAGCTCAATTTCTTGCCTAAAATCTGGAATTAAAGAAAGCATCCACTTGAAAAAGACAAACTAGGAAAGATTACTATTTGCCTACTTCCTAACAAACAGATTCAGCTAATGGTTAAAAATACTTCTTTACAAATGTCTCCTAGTAAGAGAAACTAACACCAATAGAACCCTAATTTCTGGACTTCTAAACAGTCGAAGAGAAGGTCACTAATGACTTCTAAAGAAAATCCAATGGAAAATTTGAAGCAAATTAGCACTCTGACTAGAAATTACTTCTCAGCTTGTAAGTCATTTAATTTTAGCTTCAAAATATTACCTGACAAATACTAATTAAGGAATTCAAAGGCCAAGAAATCAACTTACGCCTCTGACTTGGCTTTAATAAATGACTATATCCACAGTGGAATGGAAGATACCAGGTGGCCTAGTACTCGAGGTAAGTCTTTCATTACATTATTAAAGAATGTGTTGGCTGGGCACGGTGGCTCATGCCTGTAATCCCAGCACTTTGGGAGGCCGAGGCGGGTGGATCACGAGGTCAAGAGATCGAGACCATCCTGGTCAACATGGTGAAACTCCATCTCTACTAAAACTACAAAAAATCAGCTGGGCATGGTGGCATGTGCCTGTAATCCCAGCTACTCAGGAGGCTGAGGCAGGAGAATTGCCTGAACCCAGGAGGCGGAGGTTGCGGTGNAAAAAAAAAAAAAAAAAAAAAAAAAAAAAAAAAAAAAAAAAAAAAAAAAAAAAAAAAAAAAAAATGTGTTGAAAATATTTTAGGGCCTGTGCACAAGCACACAAACACTCCTGGCTTTTCTTTTGTGAGGAGAAAAAAAAAGTACTCCCCAGGGTCCATTAGATAGGCACAACATAGACAATTCTTCAAACTCTCCTAGAGAAAGCTGAGTGAGACCCTATTATCAAATTCATCTGAACACCAATAAGCACAATATTTAAAAAAAACTAAAAATAATTTTTGTAAAAGATAAAATAGGATAAAACTTCATATTAAAGAAACCATTTCATATAAAATGGACACTGGCAATTAATAAGTACTTATATTTTATTTGCCTGAATTAGATGGGACATGACTTAAAACTAGATGGTCCAGTCATGGATTAAGCAGAATACAATGCTTGTTAGTATATGCTCAGAGGTGACATGGTTAGTCCATCAAGTTAATGAACTCTGTACCTTCTCCTATGAATGGGAGGTCTCCTGACAACATCCCCAAGAACTCGCATTGAACTGAAAATGAATGGTGAAGAGGTCAGTGTTGCAGGTGAAACAAAATGGGATACAAATGCATGACACACACAGACACCACACTGGGAAGACAGGCACTGCTCAAAGAGAAATGGCACAGGGAAGACAATAAAGAAATGTGGAATGAGAAAAACATAAGGACCAAAAAGGCCTGACAATTTCTGTGGAGGGCTACTTTACTCTTTCCCTTGCTCCAAGGAGTTCATCAGACAGCAAAAGTTATAAAGTTTAATAATTATTAAAGTTAAACAATCAGAAAAAAATTACTACTCAAAACTTTAAAGGTGTTTTTCTTTTTCTTGGTTGTAGGAGAAAAAAGAAAAAAAGTTGTTTTTCTTAACACTTTAAAATTCAGGTTATATTACATGTAGGTAATACTGTAAGAGTGAGTCAAACTAATTAAAGTGATAATTAAAGCCTCACTCTCTTTCCACTATCTTCAGAGGTATAGGACAGTGTTCCTAGGTAACCCTTAGCACTAAATTCAACAGGAGATCCCATGACATTATGCAGGATGAAAAGTAGTAGAGTTCTAGTCTCAGTTCAGTCTAAGATCACCATGTAATTTTGGGCAAATCATTTATTCTGAGCTTCAATTTCCTCATCTGAGCTACATGACAGAGTCACATGTAGCTCTACAATCAAAATTGTGACAAAGGAGTCCATAGTGGATTATAAAGAAAAATGGATTGTATAGAAAATAAACCCTTATTCCTTAATGCTGTTATCATCTAAGGTAAGGCTGTCCTGCCAGAAAGGTTACCTCTGCTTCAAGAAGAGAATTCTAGCTGTAGGGATTATTCACCATGGCCTTACATTTTCTATTGCTGTAAATGCTTTAAAAAAAGTACATCAGAGCAAAACTAGGGAATTACTTTTTACATGATCTAGGGTCTCAAGTGTATATAAAAACAAGCTAGCAGAAAAAGCATGCTGCTTATTTTTAAGGTTAGCCTCCTAAATGACACCATAGCATAATATGGAATTCTAGAAACAGCATTTGATTAAGAGATCAGAGATAAATGGATCAATGACGTAAACTATCTGCGCCAGTGTTCTTGTCTGCAAACATGGGGAAATACCACCTGACTCATGGAGAGGATTGAAAAATTACATCAGAAATGTGTTATAAAAAGAGTCTGAAAATATTAGCGAATCAGGAAGGTATAAGAAGGTATACCTGTGAGCTCCATGAGGGCAGGGACTGTGTCTTGTTTACCTCTTTATCTCTAGAACCTAGAGCAGTATCTGGCACACAGTGAGTATTCAATATATGTTGGCTGAATAAATGAGTGAATGAACATGATTAGACAGCCATATTATTAGGAGGTTGAGGAATTTGAGCAAATAACTGCTCCAGCTGAGCTGTTTACATCAATTATTATTATTACCATTATTATTATTTTGAGACATGGTCTCACTGTTGCCCAGATAGCATCCTCAAACTGCTGGGCTGAAGAGATCCTTCCATCTCATCCTCTCGAGTAGCTGGGACCACAGGCAAGAATTTCCATGCGCAGTTAACGGTTTTCTTTTTTGTAGAGATGGGGTTTCCAATGCTGCCTATGCTCGTCTCAAACTCCTGAACTCATGAGATTACATCAATTGTTGTAAAACAACTGTAAGCCTCGTCCCTTATCTGTTACATTTACTAGCAAAGCAGCTCTGGAATAAGCATACGCTTGTAAATACAGCAGGCACTACTGTAACTCATTCTTTAGCGCTGTAACTATCTGCTTAGCTTAAATTCATCTAGGCAGCCAGCAGTCAGAAGCCAAATTTGACTTTATCTTCGTATAGCCTGCTTCCAAACTGAAGGACTGATACTGGGTCACAATTATAATAAAAGTTCCCACATGGGAAAATACCAACAATTTAATGATATGTAATGAGTCTTATATTATCTTGAGGATTAAACAATGACAATTTAGATTTTATCAAAACTTTCTATATTAGAAACAGAAGGTTTTAATTCTCAGAAAATACTTTGATATGTTAAGACTGTAAGACTTGGCCGGGCGCGGTGGCTCACGCCTGTAATCCCAGCACTTTAGAAGGCCGAGGCGGGTGGATCACGAGGTCAAGAGATCGAGACCATCCTGGTCAACACGGTGAAACCCCGTCTCTACTAAAA